AAGAAGAAGAAAGCTGGAATGGAGTGCAATATGATTTTTAATTAAAAATTGTGAACTCTACTGTTGTGTTGTGAACTGTACTGTAAACTGTGATTGGCAGGTTGGACCTCCTTTGGCAAAATACAGAGGCTCTATACAAGGGATATTTGTGTGTGCTTTGAGGCCATAAGGGTGGTTGAGGGAGGACCATTGCTCGGGATGCAAGGTTCAATGGCCCCCCTGGTTAAAATGCAGAGCTCTGTACAGGTTGGGTTTACCTGAGTCTTGAGGGTGGAGGTGGGAGTGAGTATGATTGATTGGCTTATGGGCATTGGTCCCACCCTTATTTTGATTGTGGTATGGATTGTGAGTGTTGGAGTAACACCTTGCTTGACCTTTGACACTTGGCCTTTGAAGGGGATAAGTTGGTTGATGGATATTCTGTGCATGGCTGAGCCCTGAGAGAGATCATTCATAGGTTCAATGAAGTGCAGGGCACTAGGTAGTTGATTTGAAGTCCACTTTGGGGCCTGAGTGTACATAAACAGTTTTTAATGCAATGAAGATATAGTTTTTCTTTTAAAAAAATATCATATTAAGTAATGAACATTAAGATAGCATTCTTCCCATCAATCATCGTACCACTTCTTTGAGTCACATTTTCGCCTTAACATGACGAAACTGATACAGTAAATAGGGGTATACGTAGAGTGCCCCGTAAATGTTACGGACTAAGTACGGAAACTCGGGGTTTCCAACAGTGGGCTGGGAAGCTCCGGTTCAATTAAACGCTCAAAAGTTCTTTTCCAGATGCAATAAATGTCCTATTTATAGGAAGAGGAGGGGACAGGCTTCGGCGACCCGACATGGGCGGCACGTGGCAAGCATGCACCGATCACCATCGAGGTCGTGTGATATCTCGCCACGCGGCATCGCCCTGGCCAACCAAGGGACACGAGGCCAGACACATATCGATCGGGGTCCGAGCGAGGGACGGTCGGGTGCGGGGCCTCGGATGGCCCGCGGCAGGCTCTCCTGCGGCACAGGCGGTCGGATGGGTCGGTCGGGAAGCCGCCCGGACGGCCAACCTGAGGCAGTCTCGTGGTCTAGCCGGTCAGGACGTAGCTACCGACTGATGCCGAGTGGACATCTACGGGTACTGAGGGTATATCTCTATCAGAAACTATTTTTGTAAGCGAGGCAAAAATCCTTATAAACAATAGATTTTCAATTTTTCAACATCACATCTCCTATATTAAACACGAACCCAATCAACCATAAATATGTCAAATCTCTTTATTTATTTATTTTATTATAATTGAAAAATATTTTTATATTGAGTCTTGATTATTGTGAATTTGTATGAATAGTAAAATTCAATATCATATAGTACCACTAAAACATGAAAGAAATATGTCTAATAATGGTAGAGGTTCTTTTACAAAATATTGAGGAGTATTGTTTTCGTCTAAAATAGAACAATTAAAAGGGAAAATAGAAGAAAATATGAAATTAGAGACCAGAGAGAAGCAAAACTGAAAACGAAAAACTTTGACTACACGACACCGTTTCGCTTGTTCTGCTTCCCATATTGATCAAGCGATCGCCGCCTTTTCCATGCGCCCGGCCACCGTCATCCGCCGCGGAACCACCGTCATCCGCCCCACTGTAACAAGGTCGTCCCACTGAGCTCAATATTTTCTCAAATCTAGTTTATGAACAACGCTCTTTCGGATGGTAGGGGGTGAGTTTCGGAAGCAATTTAGAATATGCTTATGATGGATTAATTCATATTTTTCTATTTTTAATTTTTTTTTATTCCTTGCGGGGCTAAGATTTCTGTAAAATGTTGCTTAGGTTTTAATAAGAATCTCGAAAACTTCCAAAAACAAAATGCGATAAAGTTTAAAACAATTCTTTTCTGGGAAAATCTTGCTTGTGAATAACGATACAAAAATAGTGATTAGAGTTTCTGTCGATCAGAGAATAACACAGAAACATATTTGAACTGTTTGAATTTTTCGTAAATGCTTTCCAATACAAAAGAAACTTTTTTTTTTGTCATTCAGTTTTCTGAAAATAAGAAGGAATTCTGGGTATAGTGTTTGATATATCCACTGTACTTTATCTTCTGCATTTTGGTTTGTTTACTAAGGAGTACCAATTTATGTGAATCAAACATAGTTACATAGGCATTGCATTATGCATCTACATGATCTAATCATAGTACTATTTGCTTTATCTCAATGTACCAGAACCTTGAGGTGTAATGGTTTCTGATCATTCTGCAGGTAAGATGATGATTGTCCATTTAGCCAACAAGGGATTGAGCTGTTGTGTATGAGATATGTATAGATTTTGCCCCCATAGCACTGCATAGATGCCTGGCGATATGGAGATGCAAATACATCACATAGAGCAAGAAGCATACACTTCAGTGTTGCGTGCCTTTAAAGCTCAAGCTGATGCCATTACTTGGGTTTACATCTTTGCTATTGACCGAGTTTAGTTATTCATTAGGTTTTATTTAAAAACTAAAGTGTGAATGACCTTTTATGTTTTGTCGTTGTTTAGGAGCAAGAAAGTTTGATTACTGAACTTAGGAAAGAGCTAAGAGTATCGGATGAGGAACATAGGGAGCTTCTGTCTAGGGTCAATGCCGACGACATCATTGGGAAGATAAGGCATGGCAAATTGTTAACACCCTGTTACTAGCAATCTTTTAAAAGTATAGGACTTGACAAGTTACGATAACTGTTTTTCAGGCAATGGAGGAAGAGGAAAGCAAGTGGTTTTCAACCTGGGATGGCAAGTGGTGGGCTTCAGCCTTCCCATGATCAGGTGCCAAGTTCAACTTCATCATCACACAAGAAAAAGAAAAAGTCAAAAGCATCATTACCCTTGGTTGCACCATCTCCAACGTGTAATCTATCTAATAAACCATCTTCATCAATCCCCAAAAGAGGCCTCTCAAGAACAGAGGGAAAAAACCCACAGCCTGTAAGTTGGTTGTTTCAACCTTTTCAGCAAATGCAACAGATTGATACATCTCTCTCTTTATTTTTTCGCAATTGTATTGATACAATATTATTGAAGTAAGATATTTGTGGCTGCATTTTTTATAAAGTCCATGCAGTACCCAGTTACAGGTTTCAGTGGAAGGCACCAAGCTCCTCCTGTTCAGACTTCTTCAGGCCCAGTTGGGACAGCAAACTTTGATCCATTAATTCGAAGAAAAGTTTTGTCAAGGACTGAAGATGAAAACATCTATGAGGCTTTTATAACAGACTATAATCCACTGGAAGTAAGCATCACCTCTAGGCTCTAGCCATACAATTCTCTTGCATGGAGCCCTTGAGTATGTTTCATTTTAGCCTGTGAATTTCTCAAAATTGCCTGGTTCAGAATGTTGAACTTTGACTGAAATGATATTAAAAACTTCAGTTGTTACTTATCACTCATTTTGAAGAATTTCATTGTATATTGTTTAATGAAATACACATTCTTACTCCCAACCAAAAAAAAAATCTGAAAGAATAACCTTTTCTACTACTGTGTTTTGAACTTGGCACTCTTATTCTAACCTTATTTTATAGCCTTTTATACACTACCTCCCCCTGAAGCAAAGTAGAATGGTAATGAACACATCTATTGCCACTGATGGTTTTCCATGTTTCTTAGATATCACCTGATGACATTCAGTTGGAAAGTGATGGCCCTAGAAAGTCTTCCAAAGGTTCGCATAATGGAAAAAATCAAGCATCGAAGAAGTCTGTGGTTCGTGGAGGTGCAGCTGCTGGTTCTGGAAGGGGTAAAGGAGTTAAGAAGTCTCAGTTAGAGAACAATATCAATCCAACAAAAAGTGGCACTGGGAAGGGATCTATGGGTGATATTGAAATACTTCACACTGATACTCTCTTAGAACAGGTAATTCATGGAACATGCAATATTTATCCATATTGTTAATATAAAAGAATGAAATAACAATAATTTCCCATGCCTGGAACTTGTGTTAGGTGGAGAAAGTTTGTGCGTATTATCCAGAACCTGATGTAATAGAGAAATCAAAGAAAGTTCTCAAAGTAAGTATCACAAAATCTTTAGATTGGTATTTTTGCAGAGATTCTTATTTAACTTCATATCCAGGAACATGAACAAGCCCTTGTTGATGCGATTGGGAGGCTTGAAGAGGCATCTGATGGTGAAAGTGGTAATATATGAATGCATATTCCTATATTCCGATTGATCAAGAAGTGTATTGTGTCACAAGATGCAGTTTTTTTGGATGTATAGATCTGGCAGATAATAAATCTGTAGAATATTGCAACTGAACTATAATTTTGACCTGATGTGCTTGTTTAGTTCATGCACTCTATGTCTCTATTAATGAGACAACATTACTTGGTTTTGTCACAACTACATGATAGTTGAGTTCGCCTAAACTTGTCACCTGTATTTTCAGATTTTTCTAGCCGTTAGTTTGGAGTCTTGCATGATCGTACTGCTTTCTCCAGTTTCATAGTCTAAATTCAAGCTTTTCTGCATGATACCTGGCAATCTGGCATGCTAGGAAATTTTCTTTTTCCTGCTATTATAATTTCTTATCGGAACTCTGAAAGTTGTGTAATCCATTTTCGTTTTATTTTTATGGTGATGTACATGATACACTTGCATGTCCTGTATCAGTTCACAAGACTGTAAGTGGAAGAAGAGCATGAATGGAGGAATGGCAAAAGATTGCTGCAAATTTGCTTCAGAAAGATTATGGCATTATCTTGACCAGGGTTTTCAAGGCACCTGTGTCACTATCTCACAATGCTACTCAGCTAGAGATCTTTATTGGCTCAGTTTTTTCTTTGTACAAAAATGTAAATTGAGATTTGATTCAGTATAAGTATTCTGGATAATGGATATATATATATATATATACACAAGGTCTACATTTGCTATCAAAATGATTACTTTCTTGATATGCTAAGATTCTGGTTTCTGAATAACCATAGCAAAGCTTTCTTTCAACATGCTTGAACTGCAAGATTACAAATTTATGCAAGGGCAATATTTACCTTATTCTACAGCACCAAAACTTCATATAAACAAAAGAAAGTTCATGAGCCCTAAAAATGATCTTGGCTCAAACTAACAATACAAGACGTGGCGATGCGCTAATATCATGCGTGCCAACCCCTCCTCCCTTCGGTTTAAGGGCTCAAAGTGACATTCCTACACAACCTACCTTTGTTTTCTAGAAACCAAGATCGATATGAAGCGTGAGCCCTGAAATCTACAATGATCTAATAAAGTCCAAGATCGAGTTCACCATGGCATCATCGTAGCCCGGCCCTTCCAATTCGAAATGGCCGACCCCTTCTACGAGATAGGTCTCCGTGCGTCCGGCTGCACCACTTAGTTTGTTCTTCAGCTGCTTGACACTGGTGAACCCATCTTGAGTTCCCATAATGAACAGCTTTGGTTTCGGTGACTTCAGTATGGCCTTGTGATGTCGTCCAAATAGGACCGAGGCCAAGAAGCCGAAAGGATACCCTATGCTCACATATCCCACAATTTGATCAACTTGATCTACAGCCGAGCCAGCAATTGGTGCACCTGCTCAACAAAGTGACGGGAAGAACATCAGATACATTAGCACGACAAAATCCAAGATCAACTCGTTTGAAGTCCACAAACCAAGTGAATTGATTTCCCATTCACTATTTATTTATGTGTTCTTATTTCAGTTGTAGAGCTAATGATCTGCACAATTTAATGAGTTACTCGATTCAGATGAAAAGCACACTAATTCCAGATGAGCATGTATGGCAGCAAAAAAAGGCAATATCTTAATATGCACACAGAGAAACAGAAAGGAGATGACCAGAAGGCAACTTCATCTTTTAAAAAACTTATTTAAGATAAATAAATAAATAAATAGTGAGACCAGAATGGCTAAACATAAACCAACACATGCTCTGTAAGAAAAATAATTAAGTAGAAATTAAACTAGGAACTAGAATTTGTAAAACACAACCACAAAAATATGCCCTATAAAAGTTCAGAATCTGAGATTACGGTATACTAAGAAACATGGTGTTACAAGAACACAAATAAATCTTGCAGATGTACCACAAGCAATGGAATTACAGCAAATATTATCAAACACAAAACACTCGTTACAAATCCTTCAGTTCAAGCATAAACAAGGGACTTGAGCCCAACACTCTCGAGTCTTGAACAAGAAAAGGGAAAGTAGACATATACTCCATATTTTATAACCGCCTGCATGACTAAAATGCAAGCCAGTCACCCACCAATTTGCAAAACAAGAAAGCATTAGAAACCCAGTTTCCAGCACATTCCATACTGAAAATGATGATATAATTTCCATATCTACATAGTGTACTCCAACTAGATTGGTTTTAAACCTAGGAAGTATGACCAAAGTATACTCCTATTAAACACACCAGGCCTTTCAGTTTTAGAAGGAACTGAAGCAAAATGTCAAATGAGACTTAAAAGTTAAAAGTGCCTTCTTGATGAGTTAGTACAGCAAATTTGTAAATTCCAAATAAAGAGTCCAATGAATATAGTGCATAAAAGGTTAAATGGATAAGTATTTTATGTGTGTTAAATTGTGCTTGTGGTTGAAGATAACCTAAGTAGTCACTCAAACAAAATGCAATCAACCTAAGGACATGTTCTCAAAGTTAACCCGAAAGTTACCAACACGTGTTCCATATTGTTTGTGTGGTGAAAAGGTATCTGCTTCATGTAAAGTTGTAACTTGTAAGCGCATCCTAGTCCAGAGGTGTTTTCTGGCTACTACTGGTGAAAAACTGAGAATTGAGAAAAGGACCGTACTACCTAGAAAAGGAGAAGGCAGTGACTGGTGATTGACAGAAGACCAAAACATCAAGGCTTATTCAACTCAAGTGCAATCATTAATACTTGGCAGAATGGATGTAGATGGCAATAGGGCATCTAAGGTCATATTGAGACTCCAAAACAGTAGCACTATAGCTTCAAGATTCCTTCACAAATAGGTTCAGGAAATTAATATGTGTTGGGTGGAGCTCCAGCTCCTTAGTACCTCAAACAAGTCCTCTCACCCTTTAACTAATTGCATCATATTACTCAGTTCATTGGGATTCTGCATTAGTAGGCATAAGTTGCACGGTGTTTACATGTCATGAATGATAAGCACTTACAGGAATAATCACACCAAAGCTTTTTTTGCAACATAGTAGGAAAATAGAAATATTATCTTTAACCCAAGTCATATCATTTTGTTACAGAAACTTTATTTGTCTATGCAAAAGCTTGTTTAGACTCCATAAACAAGAGTTTCAGTTTCTTAAAAATAAATGGCACCACCACCAGAAAATCATTACCAACATCCACTCTTTCTACTTACTCAGTAGAAAATAACCTCTGCTAAATAGTTCATGTACAAAATTACCAAATTCCAAACCCATGAAAACCATGATATATTCATATTAGCCAATCATCAGCAGAAAAGATTTGGAAAACAGCACAATGCATTATTATTTACATTGGACAATCTAACATCAATAAGTGACAATACATATCCATCAAAAATATATACATATTGAAAATCCAATTGTTATTAGGGTTCATATTGCATCGTGAACCTGATACAAGAATTTTGTACCTTCCGTTAACACACATTCTGTACCTACGGTTAACAGTTTATGTACATGTAATCAAATAACTTGATAATTGCTTACACATAATATGATGGTACAGAAACTATTAACTGCAAGTATAGAATGTGTCAATTATAAATACAGAATCTAAAGGTTACAACTACAAGTACACAAGCTATCAATTGCAAGTACAGAATGTGTTAACTATAGATAAAGAATATGAAGCCCTGGTCCATGGTATAATTTGCCTTGAAAATCTATATAGAATAAAAGAGCAAAGAAAAAACAAAAATTGAAGGAATAGTACCTGCAGAAGAGCCCACCAACAAAATCCTATCAGTGTCCAGATTTCGACTGACCCATTGGCAGACAGCAACAACATCCCTGATTTCCTTGAAGCCAGTGAGAGACGGCTTCCCTGTGGATCTGCCGACGCCTCTCATATCAAAGGTGACAGCTTTGTAACCTGCGTGCGCTAACCCTCCTGCAATTCCACCCAAGAGACCTTGACATCCACCCAATATGGAGTATGGGTGCACCAACACCACCACCAAGTTCCTTTCCCCCTCCACTTCTGCTTGTTCTCTTCGTGAATAGAAGATTCTTGCGTGGAGACTGCACCCATCACTGGTTTCCACTGTGCAATACTGCACTGCATACTTTTTATCCATTTCTGGTCTTTAAGCAAAAGAGATTTTAGATATTGGAAGAAGAAAGAAGAGGGCGTGGAGAATGGAGATCAAATTTCAAACCACGAATCTCCTCCTATTTTGCCTTTTCCATTTTTCCCTTTCATTTGGGCTTTCATTTTTTTTTTTTTCTTTACCTGTAATTTGGGCTTTTATATATTAGGGTTGGAAATTAAAAGGCAAATTATATTATGCACCGTAGTGCATAATCGATTATGCATCGCGCGTCTTTTTTTTTTTAAATAAAAATAAATAGTGTTCGTTTTCGTCGTTTCGCACCCTTTTGCAAAAAGTAATTCTGTTGTTCAGTGTCATTTTGTATACACTGCAGTTTCAGTTCAACACAACTACAGTTTCATTTCGATATAACTATAGTTTCATTCGATATTTATAGACTCAAATATGTGAAAATGTTATTTAATTTTATTTTATATACACTATATTTTCATTAAAACACAACTACATGATCATTTTGATATAATTACAACTTCATTGTACAATATACACTCAAATATATGAAATGTTATTCAGTTTCATTTTATATACACTGCAGTTTCATTTCACTATAACCACAGTATCATTTTGATATAACTGCAGTGTCGATTTAGATATACTATAGTGTCAGTTGGTATTTAATACACCAAATAAGCGGACTCCGTTAACTCTAACGGCGGGCCGTTTCTTTACTTAAAGAAACGGCGCCGTTTTTTACCGCGGTGCTATAATATAACGACTGAAATTAAAATAAATAGACAACTTTGATTTGGTTTTGATTTTGAAGGCAATTTATATCATGGAAAATGACTCACATAACATTGTGGATCATGAATCGAAATTGTGATATACATAATTCATATTTGTAAAGTACTGAATTTCATAGCATATTGTACAAAAAATCACAACACAAAATACATACACATGTTATATATTTAATTATTTTTTAAATCTAATTTAGATACATAATTTATGTTCATAAACACAGAATGAAGGAACAACGGACAAGTAGAATCACTCTAAGGTATCGAGCTTATCAGAATACCCCAACTAGCAAGACATTGAAGATCTATTTTTTGTCCTAAGAAAATTCATCACGAGGAATCAGGTCTTCCAAAAGTTTGTAGAAGGATAAGGATGAGACACTTGGTGTGTTTCCGACCTATGATGAAGATAGGACAAGCAATGCACGTTTCTTTTTAAATTAACGCAAAATTTGAGAAAATAGCGAAAGTTATTAATGAAGAAACCAAATAGTACATGGCAAAATCGTTGGAGTATTGCGACAGTACTAGACACCAAGCCCGACCCTGGGCAAATGCAGGCTGGATCCTTGCCCAGGGCACACCTCTACCTAGGGGCCCATAGTCCATATATATATATATATATATATATATATATATATATATATATATATATATATATATATATATATATAAAATAAAATTCTTTTATTGTTTTGCCATTTTTGTCACATCTATGCGACTTTAATTTACGAGGAAGTCGGGCCTGAGTTAAAGAGAACTGGATAAGCGCAGACTCTCTCTCACACCCACCCTAAGCGTCGCCAACTCGCCGATTGCCGAGCCTTCTCAACGGTAGAAATGGAGTCATCAAATTCATCAATAAAAGTTTAGAAGTTGGAAGCAAACTCAATCTGCAAATCCACTTATCCACCATTCACCATCGACGACAATCAATTTCACTGGCCCTATCTAAGTATCTGCAAATCCGCCTTCAAATACCATTTACCACCCGGCCTTCCGCAATACACCTTCGTCTAATCACCATTCACTTTCACGGGCTCACGGCTTAATGCTCTAATTGCAAAGGAATTTTTTTATTTCAAGTTTTACTGCCCTAAGAACTTAGTATGCAGTGAATTAGGAATTTAGGATTTGTGATATGTTTACTGTAATTAGAATTAGGATTTGTGACAAAATTTTTACTGTAATATTCAATTAAATGTAGTGATTTGTTTGCTGTATTCAATTATGGGTTTTTTTTTCTTTTTCTTTTTTTTTTTTGAGAATTCAATTTTGCAAACATGCAAATCCTAATTCAATTATGTGTATAGGATTTGCAGATTGAATTGCTACTGTATTCAATCCTGATTCTGGATATTCTGTTTTACTGTGTACTCTAATTAGAATTGGAATTAATGTAGAATTAGAACCTAAGTAGAATTAGAATTAAAATTTATGTTAACTTCTAAATATCGTATTGGGGCCCTTTTTTCACTTGCCTGAACCTATAAAACTATAGGATCGGCCCTGCTGGACACTTGTCGCAATAGGGACAATGGTCATATTCAAATAAATTACCAGCATGTCCTCCTCTCTATACTATAAATAGGGAACTTCAGACTCTAAAGTAGCAACTATTGAATTTTTTAAGACAAGAGAGTAGAAAAGCATAAAAGAAAAACTTTCAAAAATCTCTAAGTGTGAAGACAGAAAATGAGTTTTCACTATCATATCCAGAGGCTACTCAAAGCATAGCAATCCATCAAGTTTGTGAAAACAAACAACAACCCCATACACAGAGTTTGGTGTTGACTATTTTTCACTCAAGGCAACTTGGTAGATGACTCTTGGAATGGAACCTAGGTGTTGAAGATCGTTAGGAGTGCATATCTGGATTGAAAGAACACCATCTTTGACTAGTAGTGTTTGGTGGATACACTATGTAGTCTTCCACTTGTAATTAAGACGATTATTAGTCGAACTTCCTTATACATAAAGGAGAAGAGTTGAGGCTTAGTCTAAACCACTATAAAATTTATTTGTCTCTATTTTAATTTTATACACTTTACTTTCAGCGCACTTAATTGATTATCGACTAACCCACTATTTGAATCGATTCACACAAGTGCACATTTTTTTCAGCTAACTTGTTCAGCTACTTATCTTTAAACTTTACCAAACCCGTTGTAAGTAGTTTTTCAGTCTGTCGTTGCCTGTTACAAGTTAATTTGTTGGTAGCACGCTATTGAAAAATTGTTTAGAAAATTTCTAAGCTAGCAAAATTTGAGAAAGTCTATTCAACACCCCCCCCCCCTCCTATAAACTTTCTTTTTTCTCTTGGAACCAACACGATTTTCCAAGCAAAACATGAAGGATTGAAGCACTGCGCAAGAGGCTAAAGGACGTGACCCGGGTAGCTAGTAATGGCACCTGAGGCTCGACCTCTAGCCGCTAGTCATTCTTGCTCCGAAGCCCGTCTCTAGGCATAGGTAGTGGTTCATGACTTGTTCTCCTGGCCCACTACATTTTTAGGGGTTTGTTTGGTTCTCCTCTTTGTATAAATTAATATTAGCTTAACATTACAAAAGAGTAAATTTTATTTTTGGTCATATGACTATTGGGGTCTTGTTAATTTCAGTCCATGAGTTTCAAAACTATCAATTTAGTACCTTAACTATACAATTTTTTTCAATTTTAGTCCATCCAGCCAAATTTTTGGCGAAAAATGATTGAAAAGACAAATTTACCCTCAAATTTTTAAAATAATAACTTAAAATACATTTTTTTCTGCTGCTGTCATCGACAATAATTTCTCCGGTAACTGCAACACAATCAACTTTATTGAACCTACGACAAAGCGAAGGGGTGGACGACGAGGGAGACACGGGAGCCGTAGTGAGAGAGAACTTGCTTGAGCGGCGGCCACGAGTCTCTATTGTCGGGACAGACAAGGTCAAAGAATGCTTCAATCAGTACGGAATCAACCCCGACGGCTCTTTCCTCGTACCAGAACCCATCCTGCCTTGTCGAAATTGGAACCTGATCGTAACCCACCAGAACAATCGTCAACACAACAAATCCTAACACCAACCCCAAAACCGTCATCATCTTCCGGCCACCTCCATCACCATGAAATAATCGAAGAAAACAAATGAATCTTTAATTATACAGATAAAAAGGAAAAGATGCTGCCTCTAACGTAAAGTAGTCATCTTTAATTATCAAATTTAATTAATTTGGTTCTTCTTTAATTTATGTATAGTACAGTGAAGTGATTTATGTATAGTACAGTGAAGTGATTTATAGTGTGGTTGTGTTGACTTACCGGAGAGATGGTTTCCGACGATAGCAGCGGGAAAAAAATTAGTTTAAGTTATTATTTAAAAAATTTGAGGGTAAATTTGTCTTTTTAATTATTTTTCGCAGAAAATTTGGTCAGATTGACCAAAATTGAGAAAAATTACATAGTTAAGGCACTAAATTGACAGTTTTGAAACTCATGGACTAAAATTAAAAAGACCTCAATAGTCATATGACCAAAAGTGTAATTAACTCCATTACAAAATCATGTTCACTTTTATCACACAACATTCTTCATATACTTAGGCATTCTTCATATACTTAGGCATTCATCGAACATTATTGCTATATTTATTTTGTCTTATCTGTTTACCCTTATTATTTATGTGGATTTATTGATTAGTACATACCCCAAGTCAATTAGTTCCATCATTTTTGCTTTCATTAAGAGCTCGGCATACAAGGTTGAGTGTGCTTTCCACTTTGAGTCTATGGCGATTGTGATCAAACCATGGCGAGGTCTACCTCTCGCAATTACCGCGATTCCCACAACACCAACGTCAACCCAAGCGAAAATAACAACCCGAATGGAGCTGCGAGCGAGAAAAATGTGCTACTAGCCCCGGGCTACCATACTCCGCCTCGCCAAGGCCTCGGGCATCCAAACAAGGGTGGCCATCATCAAATAAGTTGCAACCATGCTCAAAGAGTTAGTAGTGGTGATCGGGGCATGAATGTCGCCCAATTAAACCAAGCCCATCGTTGGGGAGATAGATATTAATTCACCTAGAAGATCAATGCGAAGCTGTGCAAAGGATACGAGTCAAAGTCACCTAGGGCGCTACTATGTCCACCCTATATCGATTGGACACCCGGGTACCAGCTCGGGGTCACTTGGGACCCAACATGGCAACAACTGCCTCATCCTAAGGCGAGTCTACTACGAGGAAAACGAAAAGGGCGCCCCGAGCCTCAAGTCATCGCGAATATGCTTCATGAATAGAGAGATCTGGATAAACTATTGAGTGAGCCCTAGGCTCAT